GAGTACTGAGCTTCAAAGTATATATGTTCAGAACACTAAAACAAGCTTATTCTGTAAGTTTCAGAAAAATCTAAAGAAAATGGATTTTTCGGAGAACGTCCTTAAATGGACGTCAAAGTTAACAAAGTCCATCGAATTAAAATGTTGCTTGAAATTTGAAGCTTATTTCGATGTGTGTGCTTTATAAACGTTCTTTAAAGGAAGATGAATGTATTCAACGCGCGCGCGCGCGCCAGACTCGTAACAACTAAATTATGTAGTTTTTGTTAGGACTGATTCATTATTTAGACATTGAAGCGAATTTATTTTGATTTGCTTCGAAAACAAAATTTTCTTTAATGGAATTAATTTAAGAAAGGCTCAATTAATTTGAAAAATTAAAATACTCGTGCCTGGCGCCAAATTTTTGACCATAGTCTCGACTGACGGCACAACTTCGTCGCGTTTTATATAAGGCCTGTTCTTTTCCTCCTGAAGAGAAAAGGAAAAAAGATGAACTGGTGCAAAAGTTGAGCCAAAAAGAACAGGCCTATTATCGTTATTCGACGCAGCCAGTGATTTCATATCGATACTCCAAGTCAACAGCCAAGCACTGAATTATCGCGAAACTTCTCGAACTTAAGTTGGGCGCCAGGCACGATAGTGAGCGTTTTACTCTTCGTTACTTTTCTAAATTTTTTATGATTATTCTCAATTGCGAGACGGATAATAGCCGACTGCTCAGTCCCGTAATGGGCAGAGATACTGGGTTATTCGGAGCGGGAATAAATCGGAAGGCGAGAGAAAGTATAAGAACTACTGCTTCTCTTAATAATAAAAGAATAACAAACATACATTTGATTCTTTAACGAAGACATTTACAATAATCTCATCGAGTATGCAATAGACGGCAGCTACAATAATTTGGGTATCAATTGTAATATGAGTAAAAAAAATAAGGCTATATTCTACTTATTTTCAAATATATTATTTAAATCACTTGTTTCAAATTTTAGTTTTCGTTGCTCTTTTAAATAAATATTTCTACTGAATTTATTTTAATTTTTTCCCAGCTTTGATTTCTTTAAATTAAACGTATAAAATCGCTCGTATTATGCAAAGCAATGTATTAAATCAAGTAACGGACGATGATCGAGCTAACAAGTGTTTTGGATGACAATTAAACTTATTATTTATTAAATAAATTACCCTAAGATAAGAACGTTTCGGAACCCACCGGATCCTACGTCAGCTAAATTTTCATTAATATCGTAAACTAATCAAGTGTGGTAACAGAGGTTGAGTTAAACTGACGTTTAACAATTAAATTAAATTTGTAATAGTCAAGTGAATAAACAAGATTATCATCACGTAATCGCTGAGGACGAATGTTATAGATCTGCAGTTCTTATTGTGAATGGTTTTACATATAAATTATCTGTTTTCAACGATTTTATATAATTAACGATTTTCAGTTGGCATGTTTCTATTTCTTATTCTATGAATTGTTCTACATTCTTGAACGGTTAGGGGCTGCGCACAGTAGCAGGAATAAGGAACTAGGAATGAGGAATAATGAATAATGATTTCAACCTATCAGAAACCGTGTATTCCGATGTATCCGATTTCTGAGAGAGAGAGAGATAGATTAAAATCGTTTATTCTTTATTTCTTATTCCTTCTATTGTGCGCAGAGCCTTAGCCATTAAATTTTTCGCTGATAATTAGCGAATATTCAATGACTATTCGTAGTCAATTTTTAAAAGAGGTGTCATATTTTAATCGAAGA